GAACCCTGTGGAATACAGAGGGTTTTACCTCGAAATAAAAACCCATCGCGTTTGTAGAACTGCTGGAAAGGTTGATTTACAATTGCTTCCCACACTCCTCAGAAATCAGGATCATCCTGATACAACTCTTTGGCAAAGTCAAATCCAACAACCTTGGTTTGTAGTGTTGTAAGTAGCACATGGCAACGACTAAGGGCATCAACTACGGAGTTCAAAGTTCTAACCTTATGTTTGATAAGGAATGGATAAGATTGTAAGAGTTCACTCCAACGAGCATGTCTGCGACTGATCTTCTGCTGGGAATTCAAATACTTGAGAGCCTCATGATCAGAAAAAAGTATGAACTCTTTATTCAGGAGGTAATGACTCCAATGTTGGAGAGCTCGAACAATGGCATAGAATTCCTTATCATAAGTAAAATATCTAAGCTTGGCATCATTAAGCTTCTCACTAAAAAAGGCAATAGGATGGCTCTCCTGGCTTAAGACAACACTAATCCTGGTGTTAGAAGCATCACAACTAACTTCAAATACTTGGTCAAAGTTAGGAAGAGCTAGGACTGGAGCTTCAGTCAACTTCTTCTTAAGCTCCTCAAAGCTTTTCTGAGCTTGCTCTGTCCACTGAAACTTTTCTCCTTTGGTGCAATCTGTAAGTGGTGCAACAATTGAACTAAAATTATGGATGAACCTCCTGTAGAAAGAAGCTAATTCATGGAAGCTTCAAACCTCCTGGATAGATTTTAGAATTGGCCAGCTATCAATGGTTGCAACTTTACTTGGATCAACGCGAACACCCTCTGCGGTAATGATGTAACCCAAGAACACAACTTCGTTGGTGAGGAAGGTGCACTTCTTGAGATTTGCATAAAGCTTCTGTTCATGCAAGGCTTGTAAAACTTGCCGTAAGTGATCTAAATGCTCCTCTTGATTCTTACTGTAAATAAGAATATCGTCAAAGTACACAACAACAAATTTACCAATGAAGGGTCTCAATACTTGATTCATCAGGTGCATAAATGTGCTAGGGGCATTTGTTAACCCAAAAGGCATCACATTCCACTCGTATAAGCCATCTCTAGTCTTGAAAGCGGTCTTCCACTCATCTCCTGGCCGAATTCGGATTTGATAGTACCCATTACGAAGGTTAATTTTGGAGAAAGTAGTGGCACCATGCAACTGGTCCAGCATATCATTAAGCCGAGGTATCAGAAATCGATACTTAATCGTGATCTTATTGACAGCTCGACAGTCAATGCACATTCTCCAAATTCCATCCTTCTTAGGTACTAGAAGAACAGGTACAGCATAAGGGCTGATATTTTCTCGAACTAACCCTTTCTTCAACAACTCTTCAACTTGCCGTTGGACTTCGGCATGTTCTTGGGGACTCATCCTATAAGCAGGCTTATTAGGAATGACTACTCCTGGAATGAAGTCAATGGCATGCTGTATGTCTCGTATTGGAGGCAACCCTAGTGGTATCTCATCGGATATTACATCTGAAAATTCTGACAATAACGGAATGACTCCAGGTGGATTGGCCGTCTCGTCGTTCACCTCAAGCACCAAAATAAAGCTTATCATTTGAGCTTTAGATTTCGACACCTTGAATTCCTCCTTAGTCTTCAAAGACACTAACAGCTTAGAGACACTAGATTCCCCTGAAGATTGGCTAATCTCATTGGGTGGTAGAGGCGCTAGTGTGAACTTGACACCATCTTTCGTAAAAGAATAAGTGTTCGCTCGCCCGTTGTGCATAACATGTCGGTCATATTGCCATGGCCTCCCCAAGAGAAGGTGGCATGCATCCTTGGGAACAACATCACATAAAACTTCATCACAATATCGATTCCCAATAGAAAAGGTCACAAGGCATTGTTTAAAAACTTTTACCTCATTCCCTTTGTTGAGCCAGTGAAGCTTGTAAGGTTGCAGATGATCTTATGTTGGCAACTTCAATTTCTCCACCATGTAGTCAGATACTACATTTTCACAGCTTCTACTGTCAATGATGACATTACAAACTTTTCCTTAGGCCGTGCAACGAGTGTGAAAAATGTTGCGTCATAGCCAAGGTTTTCTTTGACTATTGTTGTATGCAGACTTCGTCTAAGCACCAATGCTTCTCCTTGATCAGCAGGTGTGACATCCTCGTCGTATACGGGATCAGTGTCGTAGAACTCAGCGTCCTCCTCATCTTCTTCAAGTGCTTTATACCCTGATCCTTCTCGAATGGTGACAACCCTTTGTGTAGGACAGTTCGCAGCAATGTGGCCAAATCCTTAGCATTTAAAGCATTTGATTGCTTTAGAACTAGATTCCATGACAGCATTGGATGGTGGTTTGTGCATAGCAGTAGGTTGTGGCTTGCTTGAGGAGTTAGTCTACTGAAATTCTGCCTTACGGCCTTCTGGATAACTCTATGAAGGTTGGAAAGTGGATCTCTTGGGCATCTGCTTCTCAACACACACGGCCAGACGGATGACATCATCCAAGGTCCAATATTGTTGAAGCTGAACTAGATGACTGATATCTGTGTTTAAGCCTGCAAGGTACCGAGCTATTATTTATTCCTCCTTCTCTTGAATATCACACTTCATCATGAGTTGTTCAAACTCTCTAGTATATTCTTCTACAGATAAAGATCTCTGTCGAAGATTTTGCAACTGGATAAAATTATCCTGGTGGTAATGATCTGGTAAAAATTTCCTGGTGAGCTGGCGCTTCATTTTCTCCCAGGTCTCAATCTTGCACTTTCCCTCACGTTCTCGCTTCCATCTGAGGTTTTCCTACCAAATAGAAGCATGTTTCTTGAGTTTGAGGGTGACAATTTTGACTTTCTGCGCATCTGGAATCTCCTTGTATTCAAATACTTGTTCAACAGTTTGTAGCCAATCTATAAACTCATCTGGCTGGAGCCTTCCCTCGAATTCAGGAATGTCAACCTTGATGTCATTAGGGCAGAATTGTTGTTGTCGTGGGCGGCGACGGTTGTCGGTAGATGATGAACTACTACTTCCCGAATCTCCCTCTAAGTTTTCTCTGTTGTTGTTTAACAGAGTTTGTTGCAATTCCACAGTGGCTTCCAACTCTCGTATCCTACGTCTCATCTCTTCCATCTCAACCTCGTGCACATGTCTACGTCTTGGAGGCATTTTGGATAAGTGTTAAGGGTAGGGATATGGGAAAGATTGAGGTGCAGATGGAAACGTTGAAGGATATAGGGGTAAAGTGAGATTTTTCAAAAGGCTAGGGGCAAAATGGGGATTTTGGACTGTCTAGGGGGTAAAATAGAGATTCTAGAAGAATGATGGGGTCAAATTGAAATTTATGAAAAATATAGGGGTTAAAATGGAATTCAAGTAAAATAAAGGGGCAAAAATGTAATTTTAGGAAAGTTTAGGGTTTAAAATGGAATTTCGGAAACTTTGGGGGTCAATATGAAATTTCATGAAAATTAGGGGCAAATTTGGAATCACTGAAAGATTTGGGGCAAAAATGTAATTTATGAAAATTTGGCTGACTGGGTAAAGTGACGTGGCGACTATGACACGTGGCGGAAAACTACTGGGCTGACCTGTCGTTGACCGGTCAGACAGCTGATGTCAGCATCTTCAACCTTCGGATGGCGCGTGGACCGGCGGCGAGGCGCGTAATCTTCTGACGGTGGCGCATGACGGCGCGTGCGATGTTTTTCTGTGACGGGGAACCTCTTGTTCCACGTTTTCGGACTTCCTAAGCACGATGGTGATGTTAGTTTTCTGAGAAAATGCCTGGTTTGTAAAACGCGAAGACGTCAGGGACCCCTCCTCTAAATCTCTCTTCTTTCTGGCGTACTTTCTCAACTGTAACTCACTCTCTTGCTCTCTGGGCTAGCTCTGATACCAAAATGGCACAGAAACCAAATGAAAAACAAGCAATTTTATTCTTTTCAAGTCTGAGCTCCTTACACAACCAAAGGGCCCTATTTATAGTTCTGGAATCGTGAAAAACTAAAGCTTACAAATTAAAAGGGAGGTTATAGAAATTAAGGGGAGGTTACAAAGAGTTTATTATGCTTCATTATGCGTCTCTCGTTTCTGCTCTTTCCGTTTCATCTCCATTATGCGTCTTCCGTTTCTGCTCTCTCCGTTTCAGAATGGCTAATCACTCAAGAGGAGGTTAAATTGGGTGTTTTGAAATGTTTGATTTTTGAAGATCAAACTCAATGACACATCAAGAAGATCCAAAAATAGAGATGAATAGAGTTGATGAAGATGAAGAAGAAAATTCACAAGATTCGATCGGCTCCATAAATTTAATGTTATGTTTGGAATATGTGAAAAGAGTTTCAAGAAAAAGAGAAGAGAAAAATCTTAAATGCTTATTATTTATGTTTCTAAGGAAATGATGCTTCCCTTAAATACGGAAAGTATGTTCTCTTCACTTTGGTAAAGGTAATGAATTATTTAACCTTGTTTCCTAGTTTTCCCTAAGTTATTTTGACTATTTTGCAAGAATTTTTGGGGCCAATTCTCGAATATGTTCATGTAAAGAGCCCATAGGAAGAAGAAGCAAATTTACAAGTGAAGAGAAGAAATTTCTTGTGAACTTTTTGAAGTCACATGTGTTTGGTATTTTTGGCTTTGGCAGAAAAATCATGGTTATCAATGCTTTGTACGACCATCAATTTGATAGTACTTTAACATATACACGTATATTTTGCAACATGATCAATCGATTGATGAACATAGATCAATAGATTGAAGAATTCGGCAGAAGCAATTCTTACTGTTAACACAACCGTATCCATCAATTGAAGGACCAATATTCCTAATAATTGTACTTTTTTTTATTAATCGACATGGCTATCATCAATATTCAGTCATCTATGTCAGCAAATATCAATAGTATCACCTTCTATTTAAACAATGAGGACAAAATCGATAGCTGAGGCATTCTTAGGGGACCAAAAATTAATAAAAATTAAATTTGATAAACCAGATTAATAATTGAAACAAATTTAAAAGGGAAAAAGTTTCATTATGGCCTCTAAATTTCTTCTTATTTCACTACTCCCTGCGACACTACTTGATTATCTTAATACAAAATAAGAGATATATTATTTATTCCATTTATTTAATCGTCTACCTAATAATGACTTTCCCTTCAGAACTCGGAAACTAGCAGAATGCATTTTCTTCAATCCTATTAAAAGGTCTTTGTCCAACTCTGTTTCCAGGAGGATCATAGATGCAGCCTATGAAAATGCCTGATTCATTGTAGCACCTCACTTTAGCACACCCAACATAAACCGTGCTCTTCCAAACCACCTGAGTGTAGTGCCGGCACACCGTACCATTCACGCACGAGTTGCTATCATAGTCATAGTTCGCCTTCTCATCCACCCACAACTTCACAGCGTCGGTGCCGATCATCTGGTCGCCGGAGCTCCATGCGAGGTTCTCCCCGTACATGCTCGGAGCACCCAAGGAGTGAACCAGCTCGCAGTCGCCACGGCGTTGGTCGACGTAGTTCTGTGCCATATCTGCCATAGCATCATTCCAAACTATGTCTGGAACACCCACTTCTGATCTTGCTTTGTTGTGAGCATTTACATAGTCTTGTGGCGAGTCTTGAGCATAGGCCTTCATGGCACAGAGATAGAAGAAGAGAGGAAATGAAAGTTTGGGCGATAGCTTCATTGTTGGATGTATCGTTGAGGTGTTCGATGAAGAACTGTTTATAAGTCAATTCTGTTGATGGAGAAGTCAATTGTGTTGCAGCTACTTTTTTTTGTGCAAATTGTGATCGGCCGCTTGACACGCGTCAACTATTGAAGATTTTTTATCCGCCATTGTTGAATGGTTCAAGGGGCATACTTGTCTACTTGATTCAAAATCATTTTTCTATATAAAAATTACATGTAAAAGTATCACGACCGTTTCATCAATTGTTGATCTTTTTCTTTAATTGGCTCCCCAAAATTCAAAATCACTAGAGCCGTGGGGACCCATATTAATGTAAAGACATTTTAGGGTCCTGCTTGAAGCCTTGAAGTGATTTTCCACGAGCTATTCATTTTACGATGCCTCTAAAAATAAATTCTTCACTTGCATACAAAGTTTCTATCACTTTCTGTTTTTCTTATAACCATTCTTCTTGTTTTTTTTTTTTTAACTAGCCATACATGGTAAGATCAGGCAACAACACTTAAAACGGAAGTGAACTGGGCGTTAAGCAAATTTTTAATTTTATAAAAGATTTATTGTCAAAACTGAGCTTGATCAATAGAGGAACCAAGGAGTTTGTTGAAACAAGTTTAGTTAAGCTACTTAAAGAAAGAATTTTAACAAACAATAAATGAATTTTCAAGTCAAAGATTGAGGTTAATACGTACCAAGTGTCCAAAATCAAGAAGGTAGTTAGACTGAAGTTTAAATATTCTTTTAAAAACATATTTGAAATATTCTAACAAAGATGAGTAAATATTGAAAACAAGGATATTGAAAACAATTATCAAAACAAAGTATTAAAAACATTTTGTAACAAAGTTTTCCAAATCCAAGAAGCAAAAGAGATTATTAAACTTTGAAAAGTTGAATGTAAAGAGTAAGGGTAGATAGACTGCATAGATCTATTCATCCTAGCTAGTTTAGGCCAATCACTTGGCCTACATCTAGTCCTCAGAACATTTATTGAGATTTTTGCCATTTTACAAACCACAAGTTTAATTGAGCACTTGTGACATATTGTAATATCTCATTTCAAGACAATGAACACCTTACAATTACTTAGAGAAATCTCTCTTTGAACTTAATTCAAGGGAACTCTTCCTTTAATTCTCTCAAGGATAAATGTAAAATGTTTCTTGATAAATTCTCTCTCAGAGAGATGATAAGAATAATAAAGTACACTCAAATAAACTCCTTCAAAGAGTATATATGACAATTAAAGCCTGTAAACTGTTAAATTGATAGCTTTTCAAAAACTTATGCAAATGATAATAGAAATCAATTAATGCATCATAAAATCATTATCCACTCACTTAAATGATGTTCTATTTATAGTGTGAGGAAGATTAGAGTTGTTAGAGACCTTAACTAGCCGTTTGGAGCCATTGCATTGCATGTAAATATGAAAAACTAAGAAAAAAACACTTTATATACGAAACTCATTAAATGCATGTCAAAACTCTAAAATTCTTGTTTTTAGATTCATCTTTGTATGGACAAGTAATGCAAAAAGGCTTCAAGAAGACTTAGCTCAATGCACATGTGAAAATTGTCTAATACTCACGTGTTTTAAGAAGGCAAAAGAACAAGCTTCTTTGGAAACACTAAAACACACGTGTAGGCTATCTAAATCATGCGAGGAATAGATACAAGAAGTGATTGACCTCTTGAAAACATAGAATGAAAGAGATTAACTTAGGTGACATCTAGAACTCGTGAGTGTTGGTTAGATAAGTTTTGAACATTTAGAATGAAAGATATTAACTTTTGTGTTCAAGGCTCAAACAAAGGCAACATTGAGTTACAAGCTGAAACTCATGTGAGTGTGCTACAACTCGCAAGGATGAGTAGGTTCAATGACTCAATTGCCATAGGTAGGCTAATACTTGTGAGGATAAGATCTAGTCCTTGTGAGGATGGGTACTTCATAACTTTGCTTAACATTGTCACTTTGAAACTTGCATGTCACACCACTAAAACTCACGTATTTTAGGTTTCCAGAACCAAGCTCTTCTCTACCACCCTAAAACTTGTGTGTCTTAAAACTGAGACTCGCATGTTCTAGGAGTCTAGTGCCAAGCTTCGCTCTGTCACTCTAAAACTAGCGTGCCAAACTCTTAAGCCAGCGTCTTTGAGCAAGCTAAAGGGAATCTCTTCTCTTGAGTTATAAAATTCGTGAGCTCCAAATTGGAACTCGTGTGTTTTTGCATCACAAAATCAAAGGCATTCTGGAACTCTATAACTCGTGAGGTTTACTTTAATACTCACGAATATGACATGAAAGACTCAAAGAACAATCTAAAACATTTGACTGCATCACATGCTTTCTAGACTAGAACTCCTGAGGATGGATGAGATTAAAGCATGAAATGCACAAAGATATTTTTTAAACTTAGAAACCAAAAGTGTGTGTGAGAGCCTAAGACTTGCATGTCAAAAATGTTTTACCATAAAATGCAAATTCAAGCTCTCTTGTTCTTTTAACACTAAGAACTAAGAGAATGTAAAATAAAACTTATGACACTAATTCTTCTATTGTTCTAGCTCCCTTGCTCTCTTGAATTAGTTTTGTCATAATTGATTATATAATCTACAAGCACAAAACCCTTTCTTGAGTTTTGTTATCATCAAATCAAAATATTCAACATATACGAGTTGCCAAAGAAAATAATAAGTCTTTCAAGATGAAGCGCTGTTATTGTGTTGGTTTTGAAAAATATTTAGAGAAATTATTCTTATATCTACACAAGTAATCTAAATACGGGAAAATATCATGAAATGATAAAATTACTTTAAAGTCTGGTATCCTGTACTAAAGCTATCAATTTGGTATATTGATGTTATAAATTATTGTGGAATAGTTTAACTAAAAAAAATTATTGCCGAATAATTGCTAGAGGAATTATTCAATTGACAACTAAGTAACAATAATTAATCACTGTCTTATAATAATTGACAACTTTAATAAAGGGCATGAAACTTTAAAGTAATTTTGTAATTTTTTAGGACATTTCAGTTGAGTGTGGTCACTCTTCTCACCGGTGAGTGTGAGTGTGTGAGATGGTAATGCGATCAACGTCATCATTTTTCAAGCATACGCTGAGCATGAATGAGAGTTAAAATTTAAATCAATCATTGGATGAAAGATATTAATAAAAAATTGAATAATAAATAAGAATTATTTTTGGGTATAAAGAAAATGTAATTCTCCCAAATAATCAAAAAAATAAAATTGGGAGTTAAAATTAGACTCAAGAAGAGAAGGAAATTTGAATATGAACGAAAGAAAATATTTGGGAGAATTGTGTCAATAGTAATGATTTGGAAATACTCAAAAGAATTAATTATAAGATTCGTAGTCTTGAGGATTTTTTAAAACATCATCTCATCCTTCCTACAAAAATTCCAACAATAGTGAAAAGAAACCGAGCTAAATTTTGAGCCCAAAATATAAAGGGCGTTTGTTCCAACAGAAGAGAAGAATTATCTAGGGTATGTTTAATTTCTGTTCATGAAAACTGTTTTCTATTTTTAAAAATAAAAAAAATTAAAAAAACTCATTTGAATAATTGTTTTCAAAATCGTTATCATTCAAAAAAAATGAAAACATCTTAACATTATTTTTATTTTATTTTTCTATTTTTCAAATTACATTACATTTGATTATTAAAAAATATAATTTGTTTGAACAATTTCTATCATAAACTATCATAATTAACCACATGTAACTATGATTATTTGCCTATTTTTTAATTCTAAAATTATTTTAAAATTAACCTAACCAAATATATTTTCATTTTATTTTATTTAAAAACAATTATATAAACTATATTATAAAATAACTCTTAAAAATAAAAAACAAAAACTGAAATCAAATAGGCCCTTACTTTCTTGGATTATATCTTGGGTTAAATACATTGGGCTTTGGCGTTGAAGAGCTCAGGAGTTATTAGAACCCACTTGCAACTCATGTTACCAAAAAACAATTCAATAATTCGCCTAACCAAAAAAAAAAAAAATTCATTAATTCCTTCCTCCTTCATTTTTCCTCAAGGCAGCATGAGTGGGGGAAAGAGAGAATTGTTTGGGCATTCATGCCGGATAAAGCTGAAAGAGAGAGAGAGAGAGAGAGAGAGAGAGAGAGAGAGACCCAGCCAAATGCTTTTCAATCTAACTAAAAACCCACTTTCATGCAAAGGGTCTCAACCCGGCCCCCCCAAAAAAACATCATGAGGCCAGAAAGGGCCAAGATGGTTCTCGCTAGTAGAGAAGCCTGGAACTTTGCATATGTGAAGATTGTAATAAAGGATATTGAAAACTCATCATTTGATTTAGAAGTTCGGTGTATTGAGAGCTCTTTTGAGTTTTGACACGCTCGTGCACAAAAAACACAACAAATAATTTTTGGCACATCCAATGACACTATACATATGTGGCTATGGCACCATCATGATTCAGATATTTTGAAGAAGAGCAATGGCATGCCTGGTGTGTGTAAGGGTGCCTAATCCCTTTCACACCAACAAAATCAATATTTAAAAATATTTTGTTAATATTTGAATGCTCAATATCTATAATTTTCTTATTAATGAAACTTACAGTATTAGAGTTAAAAGACTAAAAAAATATCTTTAAAAATTAAGAGACCAAAATCAAATTTTATGTAAAATTATATAACTAAAACAGTACTTTTACCTAATGGTTATAAATATATACATGCATATTATAAGGTTTGCTATATATTCAATAAGTGTGAACAGTGTCACTTGTTTTTTGAACTCAGTATAGAATTCATGTAGCTGGCCAACCAATCAAGTTTTCTTTCAAATATGCAATCTCATCTTTTCTTCAATTAATTTATCATCGGTTAAATGATTAATTTATATTTTCTGCTCTATTTGGAAAAAGAATGATTCGTAATATTACTATATTTGGACAGTCCATTTAATTTAAGCCGCAAAAAGTTATATTTATTAAAAAAAATTAAATATATTTTTAATCTTCTAACTTTATATAAGATTTTAATTTGATCCTTTAATTTTGTAAAATATCTTTTTAATCATTTAACCCTAACATTATTAGTTTCAAATGATAACTTTTTTGTGTCAACCACTATTGTTTTAAAAAGAAGTAAACTTA